AAAAAAAAAAAAAAAAAAAAAGAGAGAGAGGAGGAGGAGGAGAAGAAAAGTAAGAAAAGTGTCACTTGAAGCACGGGGCTGGGTGTGGCTCAGTGCTACGGAGCCTGCCTAGCAGACCCGGCCAGGTTCCATCCCCAGCACCACAGACAGGAAAAAGGAGAAGAAACGGAAGCAGCAGACTATCAGCCACACACACGGTCAGGTTTAGTTCTCTACCTGTAAACACGACTCCAGGCTCTCTCAGCGTCTCTCAGAGCTACAGAACAGCAGCACCAGGCCAAGCGCCACACCACTGCTGTCCGGGCCAGCTGATGGCTGCTGGAGCCCCCAAACCATGCTCCTGGACGGCAGCCAGCAGGAGGGTGGGGGCAGCACCAAGGAGGGCAGGGCCCCAGCAGCACAGCCGACCAGGGGCGGTGCCAAGAGACAAGGCCACGTTCACACACACCGGCCGCAACTGGACAGTGGTGATGCTCAGGGCCCGGCCTCCTGCTCTGCACGGTCTCTACAGGCCGCCTGCCCAGCACAGGCTCGGTGCAGCTCTGTCACACTGTGCACCAGTGTGCCGAGCTCCACTCAGAGTGACATCCGCACAGCAGCCCCCACAAAACAGGGTCCTGCCCCTAAGGCTGCCAGCCAGCTGGGGCAAGACTGGCACAGAGTGCAAGGGTGTGCACGCGAGGAGGGCAGGATGCCATCTCCAGCAGCCGAGGGTCGCATGCCCGACTGCTCATGCAGACGTCTCTCTCCTCACAGTGACCCCTGAAATAGTCATACCCCAAATCCCGACCTCTCCAAGGACCACTCGTCCTGAAGCTCCACAGCCAAACAACATGCGGGCACATAGCTTGCATCTTGTTTTGTTCTTCTGAGACAGGTGGGCCATGAACTTACAACCCTCCTGCCTCAGCCTCCCAAGTGCTGAGATCACAGGCCTGCCTGGTACCATCAGTTTCCTCTCCCACTGTGAGTCTGGGCCACTCCAGCCCCTGGCTTCCTTCTGCAGAGCTGGTTGAGAAACCCAAGTCTCTGGACTCTTCTGGCTAGAGTCTCCTCTAGGCTCAATCACCCAGCACGGCACCCAACCCTGGCATGGAGAGCAGCTGCCACAGCAAGCCCACCTTCCCAGGTCGCTTCTCACTACTCCACAGAGCTACTCAGCTTCCAGGACTTGGCCGCTGTGGTGCTGACTAAGCCTTGGCTTCCACTGGAGGTGCCCCCGAGAGTCATCAAGTCTGACCAAGGGACAGAGGCCCCAACCCTACCGCTCCAGAGTGGAGTTCTCAGTGACCCCTGCGGGCAGCAGCCTCTGACAAAGCATCTGATCCAAACCAAGACAGGGCCTGGGCCTGCAGCTCAGAGGCAGGGCTTGCTGAGTGCATGAGGCCCTGGCCCTCCCAGCACCGTCGAATAAATAAAAATCAAACAAAAACAAACGTCCCACCACCAACTGTTTGTGCTGATTGTCTGCAGTCGCAGAGCCTGAACCCACTCACAGGTGCTAGGCAAGCACTCACTCCACCATTGGGCTACATCCCAGCAGGCCTTTTACTGATATTTTCCCTGGAGGGAGACGGGACAGAGTCTCCTAAGTCATCCTGGCTGGGCTTAAGCTTGTGATCTTCTTGCCTCAGCCTCTCAGAGTGCTGGGATCACAAATGTGTGCATCTAGTTACCACCAGCTCCTTTCAAATTCTGAGACAGGATCTCACCCAAACGTCAGCTCCACCAGCCCAAGCCTGAGTAGCAAGTTCAAGCCCTGCCTGGGCAACTTAGAAACCTGACTTATGGAAACCCTGTTTCAAAATAAATACAATAAAATGAAGGGCTGGATGTGTAGCTCAGTGCAAAGGCCCTGGATTCACTACTCACCACAGGAAAGAAAAAAGGTGCCTAGAAATGGCTTCCCCAGCTTTCTAGGCCCCATCTGGGCTCCGCCGTGGTGCGCACACACCGCTGGCCCACCTCAGTGAGCAGCCATGCCACCGCCCCCAGGAGAGGAGACAGGAGGGCCGGCCCAGGTGCTGCCCTCCACGCAGGCCCTGCGCAGGGCAGTCTCAGGCACATGGTGCCCATAACAGACACCGCAGCCGCCCTCAGGGCACCTGCTCCCTAGCACCAGGCCAGCGGGGGAGGGGAGTGAGGAATGCACACAGGGGGCCCCCAAAAGCTCTCTAGACTCCACCTGTGGTTGACTGGGGCCTCCTGGAGCGGGTATTGAGACAGGGTCTCACCGTGCAGCTCAGGCTGGCCTCAAACTCACGGACCTGCCTCAGCCTGCTGAGTGCTGGGATTACAGGTGTGCACCACCACACCCAGGTGGAAAGTCCCTGATTTTTAAACAGTGATTCAGAATGGCAAAACTTTTATAGAATATCCCAATTTCTTTGCTTCTTCTCATCTTCTTCAGACCTCAAGAAAGCTTGCATAGTCAAAAAAAAAAAAAAAAAACCAAAAACCACTACTGTGCTTTCTATGAGACGCATGGTAGAACGTCGCACTGCTGAAGAATGTGCCTGATCTTACTAACCTATGTTAACAGGAATAAACCCTAAGCTAAGAGATCGGGGCCACTCCAGACTGGCTAAACTGGCTGGTCAAAGAAGCCGGCATTTCTAGGTCTCAGCTCCTCCTCAGCAATGTGAGCAGAGCCACAGGCTCTCCATGGTCTCTTCCACCTCAAATTTTAATAAATGGTTCAAACTTTCCAACTCTGATTAAAATGAATACAGTGAGAAGACACCAACATTCTTGCCCTATAAATAGTAACAAGACAGATAAGCTACAAGAATCATAATTTTTAAAAATTAGAAAGCAGGCACGGTGGAAGGTTCTTGTAATTTTGGCACTCAGGAGGCTGAGGCAGGAGGATCACTTGAGTTGGGACCTTGAGACCAGTCTATGCATAGAGCAGGACCCTGCCTGAGGGGGAAAAAAAAGCCGAGGATGCAAAACAATCTAAACAAACTGAATTCCAGAAAACATCGAGGCTCTCAGAGTAGACCCGGGTTATTCAGTCTTCACTGAGGGGGATGAAGAGAAAGCAGACAAACTTGTTTGTCAGAAGCACTGAACGGCTTTGTGGGCCTCCGGGAGCCCAACCTGCACGCCCACCCGCATCCTTCCCTGGGAGGAGAGCCCAAGGGCCCCGCGGGGGAGGGGAGGGTGGGCCGCAGGGCGCAGACTCTGCTCTGCCTCTGAGTTCCGGGTAGGCGACAATTCCTGCTCAGGTGAGGCCACAGAAAGAGCAGGAAACACAGCACGGGAAACCCGGGGCCAAACTGAACAGCAAGAAAATTTCCTCAAGGACTCAAGGCACAGAGGCCATGCTGGTAAGCAGGGACAGCAGCGAGATAGATGCAGGAAGCAGGGGGAACAGAAGGACACCCAGAAAGGATGGGCAGAGCTTCCTAAGCTGAAAAAGACACCGGCTCACAGCCAAGAGCGCGGGGCACAAGCAGGATACACACAAAAAACGTGACCCGGCTCCCAGGCCAACCCAGGGGAGAAGAAAAACAACACAACGACAATGAAGGGAGAAAGCCTTGGGCAGCCAGAGGAGGCCGGCCTGGGAGACTGAGCCCAAGCCAAACAAACGACAACAGGAAAACGCTTCCCTCCTTCAAATCACATCAAGGAAGCAGAGAAG